TATATATATATAAAACTTGCATTTCACCTTTAAAAGGCATTCTTAAGATTAAACTCACTCTTTGCTCACTTTGGCACCATAGCTCTTGTTCAAGTACAACCACTTTCAACCTCAAGGACCAAAGATTAAGGACCAAGGACTTTAGACTTTTGATTGAAGACTTTGAATGAGTACTTTTTTCTAGCAAATACATTTGGTATCCACTGTAAAATTATAAAATATTTATTCTATTCTTATGGACTCTGTTGACAAGCAAACGGCAAGAACAAGCGGATCATGAGGTAGTAACCTAAAAATACCTAATAGTGCTTGCATAGCAAAACTGTGGAAAGAGTTGCAACAATGAAACAAACAAAGTGAAAGGCAAAAAAAAAAAAAAAAAACATGAAAAGGAGATGACATTCCTAAGGCAACAAAACTCTAAAATGCGGTGAATGATTGAACAGTTGTAGGTTAATACCAAAACCCTCATTGGTGACAATGAACCCACTTGGTGACCAAGATCCTCCGGTTCCTCTGAAGACTTCATCTGTTTTTTTTTTTCTAGCATGATTTCTACCAAAATGTCGATCTTGTGAAGGATGCAGATCACTCAGGCCTCTCATCAAGTTGGAAAATCAACACCCCACTTTACTATTGTACCTTCACAAACATCCCTTTATAGATGACATTATGAGAGTACCCCTTCTTAGTGGGTAATAAATATAAAAATAATAAAAACAACTTTTTATTTATTATTTTACAAAAATTAACTTTTACTTTATTTTCTTTTTACAAAAGAGCTTTTATTTTCACTTTATTTTTTTTCCCTAGTTTCTTACGCTTCTTCTCTCTTTTTTTTTTCTCCACTATTTTATTCTTTTTACCAAATATAGAATAAGATAAGATCGATGAGAACAAGTTGAATAATAGTCAACTAGCTCGAGTTTAAAGCCCTTGAGTTTTAAATCTTCTACTCACAGGCTACTTTCAAGATCATTCTTTTAGAGGCTTTTGTGATCAAAATATTTTTGTGTCCACTGTAAAGCTCTATGAAACTTTTTTGTTGATGACCTATTGTTCTTGTTTGGAGACGAGATCACACTAAGATGCTGACAAGGAGCGGTATTGCATGTTCAAACAACCACTATACAGTAACAATCCTCTATTACAATAACGAGCAGAGACCGTGATAGAGTTAAATAAACAAAGAGAATTTCTACGGTACCCTTTATAAAAGAAGGGTACCGGTACTGTTGATGATGTGTCACTTACGTGTAAATTCAAGTTATTTATAATTTTTTAATTATTTAAAATTCACATCCACGTATGATGTTTACGTTTTTTAATTTTTTTTTTCCGAATCTTTCTGCCTTCCTATTTCTTCCCTCGCTGCAAAAACCCTAATCCCCAACGTGTGCACGGAAACCTCATCGGCAGAGAATGGCGATTGTGACCGGGGAGATCGGTACCTCGAGAAGTTGGTGCACTTCGTGGAGGACCAGGCGGGACCTCTGATCGAAGGAGCCTTGGTGTTGAAGCTGAATCCAGCGGGTCTTCACTACGTCCAAACGAGGCTGGAGGCGCTGCACGAGTTGGAAAGCCTCCTTTCCGGCGCTCCGGTGGACTACCTCCGAGCGTACGTGTCGGACCTCGGTGACCACCGCGCTCTGGAGCAGCTCCGTCGAATCCTGCGCCTCCTCACCTCGCTGAAGGTCGTTTCGGTGCTGCCTCATCCAATCAGGGATCCAACGCCCTTGTCGTTTCTTCCGTTAGGGTGCTTGAAGGTTCTCGAACTCAGAGGTTGCGACTTGTCAACTTCCGCCGCCAAAGGCTTGCTCGAGCTCCGCCACACACTCGAGAAGATCGTTTGTCACAACTCTACCGTGAGTCGTATTCGTTTTCTATTTGCTTTCTTTCTTCACAATTTTGCTGGGTGTTGAGTTTTGTTATTAGGATGCTCTGCGGCACGTGTTTGCTAGCAGGATAACGGAGGTGAAGAAGTCTCCGCAGTGGAACCGCTTGTCTTTTGTGTCATGTGCGTGTAATGGCTTGGTTCTCATGGACGAGTCTCTGCAGCTTCTTCCCGCGGTTGAAACACTTGACCTCAGTAGGAACAAGTTTGCAAAGGTGGATAAAAACTTAAAAAATAAATAACGTAAAAATTTAAATACAAAATAATTTTTATTTAAAAAGCTGACATGACATTTAAATGATGTGTACATACACATCAGATACAGTACCAAAACCCCTCATTTATCAGGGTTACGGTAGCAATCCCCATAAACAAAAGATAAGATAATAATTAGAGTGACATGTATGTCTGATCAAATCCAAGAGGGAGTGTAGTGTATCTATGACGTTTGACTTGTTATCTAATTAAGCATGTGGAGGATGGAGTGGCTTACAATGTGAGTGTTTTAAGATGATGAATGAGAGCCGTTAAATTGTTGTACGATGAACCACCCTCTCCAACAGCTTGCCTAGCCGTTTCCGCAAACTCCTTTGCTCGGCGTCTGATTTGCTGAGCCTCATCACCACCGTCCATCACCCTCCTCACAGCCTCCTCTATGCGATCTCTGCCCACCACCTTTCCACACTCGTAGAAACCACAGAAGGTCCACTCCTCTGCACCCACCTCCACCCCAATCCCCCGCACCCTAGTTATCAGCTTCTCGTTGTAGAACTGATCGCTGTGCACTGGCCACGTAATCATGGGAACCCCCGCAGTTACAGCCTCCACCGTGGAGTTCCAGCCACAGTGCGTCAGAAAAGCACCAACAGAGGGATGCCCCAGTATCACCACCTGTGGGGCCCACCCCTTAATGATCATTCCCCTCTCTTCAAACCCCTTGGGCAACCAATTCTCCTTCTCTTCCTCGCTTTCATTCTCCTTCCCCTTCTTCTCCGGAACCACCCATATGAATTCATGACCCGATGCTTCTATAGCGCTTGCAATCTCGTAAAGCTGTTTATCCGGGAAATAGCATATGCTCCCAAAGCATATGTACACCACCGAGTTCACTCGCTTCGAGTCCAGCCAACTCACGCACTCCTCCACGCTCACCACGCTCTTCAGCCCCCTCTCTGCTTTCTCCAGACAAGTACTGCGAACGAGCGACGCTGGGCCAAGGTGCCACGCCTTGTGGCCCGTCGTTCTCTCGTAGTGGCGGAGGTACTCTTCTCCGTCAAGCTCGGCGAAATTGTTGATGATGAAACCGTCGCTCTTGAGCGCCACCGTGAGCAGGGATTCTATGAATCGGCGAACGTCCTCGGGTGGGGCTGCGTTCATGGTGACGTGATGAGGGAAATCAGGAATGAGAAAAGGAAGGGAGGCGCCGATGCCGTGCGTTTTGACGGCCTCCATGGCGCAAATGGTGAAGAGGGAGAATCCGTTGAAAACGAGCCTGGGGATGCGAAGCTTGAGTGCTAAGTCATGGACCCAGGGGTATAGAAAATCGGCGACGATGCAATCGGGTGGGTGCTGCTCCACGAAACTCTCCATGGGTTGGCGGAGCAGTGTGGTGGCCATGTATATCCTGTTGGATGTTTGGAGGTCGGTGGCAGTGGACAAGTTTTCCACTCCTTCCGGGAGGCCCACTTCTTGGGAAGGGAATTGGAAGGTCTGGACATGAAAGTTTTTGGACTGGTGTAGGGTTTGGGCGTTGAAAGGGGTGGTGATGATGGTCACGTGCTGACCACGTGAGGCGAAGAATTGCGCTATGTCGCAAAGAGGAATCATGTGACCGGCTGCCAGGTATGGAATGAAGTAAAGTTTAAGCGGCCGTTCAGCTTCCGCCTCCATTATGGCCCAACACTAACACTCTTCCCCTTAATTAACCTACCTTTTCCTCCATCACTCTCTCTTTATACTTCAACTTCTAAGCAAGTTTGACTAAGCCAAACATTGTTGATCAATTGTCGTTTTCTGTGCAAGTAACCGTAACCACTAACCACTAATCTATAACCACAAAAGTTTTAAAACAAGAGGACAAAGCATGCAAGTTTCCCAATGCCGCCACTGTTTGTATTAATAGAGACGGTGTCTGCAATTAACTCATAATATACGCATTTGAAAGGGTTCCGGTAACGTTATCCAATAATTCAATGACAACTACGCTCTAATAACACAAAAATTAAAGTGAAACCGGAAGAATACGTAATAATATCATATGTCAATTACAGAAAAACTTAAAACTATAAATAAAAATTAGAAATAATGATAAAAAGAATTGACAAAAATATAATATTAATTTTAGAAATAGTAAATAAAATTGCCAATTTGACATGTAATAATATTAATAAATAATTAAAAAAATTAATAATATAAAACTAACATCAGAAAATATTAGTCAAGAGAAAGATACAAATGAAAATGATAAAATAAATAAAATACAGAAAGTATTAAAACAATAAGAAGATCTTCTAAAAAATCTAAAGGATAATTATACTATTAGAAAAGTGTTATTTTTTAGCAAATTTTTTTTTTGTAAAAAATATTTGTAATTTTTTTTTGCAAACTTTCTTATAATAATAATTTTATTAAAAAAATTTACAAATTTATTTGAGAAAAATAGTTTACAAAAATTTCTTACAATTTTTTTATGAAAAATAATCTACAAATTTTTCTTGCAGATTTTCTTGTAAAAATAAATTAGTAAATAATGTTTACTAAATGATAGAAAAATTTCGCAAGTAATTTTTCTTGCAGATTTTTCTGCTAATTTTAATCCGCAGAAAAAAGAAAAAAAAGATAATAATTTATAAGTTTAAAATTTCACCCTTTCAACTAATTGAAACAC